GCAATCCATCGACCTGCTTTGTTGTCCTTCAGGCGGGTAATTGCTATTCGAACTTCTTCCTGGTCGGGATATGGAACTTCTGCTCATCGCCATCGATTGGGGAATCGCGTTCGCCTTCTCCTGCTCCCTCCATAATTTAACTACGCTCTGGGCATCGGTGACTAGATCACCTTTGGGGGTTCTACAAGAGTATGCTCCGGTCTTGAAACCTTCTGTAAGCCGCCGCATTTTTTCGTAGAATTTTCGAGAGTACTAGCTGTTCTGTTGTATTTTCCGAAAACCAATGGTTTCGGTTGCAGCTGTACGTAAGGAGTTTGAAATTCCATCCCACAGTTCCCTTATACCGAGTTGTTGACGAGTGCTCTCAGAAAGCAGAAGTGTAAGCCGAGTAGAAAACCGTTCGGCTGCCTGCTGTGATTGCAGCTTCTCGACGTCGAACCTTCCTTGTTTTTTGATGCACAGAGGGGCGTGCGAATCTTGGCTGCAACAAGATAGTGGTCCGAGTCGATGTTAGGACCTCGGAGCGCACGCACATCTAAAACACTGGAGACGTRTCTTCTGTCTATCACAACATGATCGATCTGGTTGGTGGTTTTTCGATCCGGAGATATCCACGTAGCTTGATGTATCTTCGTATGCTGGAATCTAGTACTACAGATAACCATATTTCGTTCCGCGGTGAAGTCGATGAGYCTCTACCCATTTGGGGATGTTTCCTCGTGGAGGATTAATTTACCGACCGTAGTGCCAAAGATACCTTCTTTGCCCACCCTAGCGTTAAAGTCGCCAAGCACGATTTTGACATCGTGGCACTCATAAAAGGCACCTTTGGTCACATCGTCCTTCTCTTCCGTCGGGGCGTGGGAGCAAATCAGCGATATGTTGAAGAACCTCGCTTTGATGCGGATTGTGGCTAGACGTTAATTCATCGGGGTGAATGATAGTACTCGGCGACGGAGTCTCTCTCCCCCCACGAATCCCATACCAAACTTGCGCTCCTTTATATGGCCACTGTAGTAAATGCCACAAGGACCTACTCGTCTCTGTCCTTGTCCCGTCCATCGCATTTCTTGGATGGCGGAGATGTCAGCCTTTATTTTTGCGAGGACATCAACCAGCAGGGCAGCGGCACCTTCCCAATAAAGGGACCGGACATTCCAGGTGCATGCCCTCAATTCGTAGTCCTTATATCGTTGGCCATGGTCGTAATCAAAAGTGGGGTCTCTCATCCGAGGCTGTTGTTGCGTTTTCATTGGGGTGGTTTTGTTTACGTGGCGGGTTCCAAACCCAGCGCACAACCCTATGCAGGGAATGTTTCTCCTTCTTACTCTAGCTCGCCTTCAAACGGATGTTCTTAGGCTACCCAGAGGATACTTGGTCAAGGACCGAAAGTCGTGAGCTGCTTGCGTCATATGTAAAAGATTCGTTTCTGGCCACTCCCAAGAAAATGGCGATCAGAGAACTTTTCTCACTTGTGTGAACTTCTACACATGACTCCATCTATCCATCGGCTTACTACAGCATATAACTGCTGTAAAAACTTAACGATCGGAATCAAATGCTTGCATGGGAAACTTCCTCATGTGAAGATATATATATATTCACGAAATTTGATATGAGTTATTGTTCGTAGAAATAATGTAATATCGGAAGGAATTGTTCRGATCGGCTCACTATAGCATATAGCTGCCATACAAACCGAGCGAGTGTATGGAAAACTCTCGTATTTGACAGTGTATATTCACGATATGAATTACTACTTAAGGTGATAATATAATCTCCGAAAAATTGTTGAAATTGGATTAGCACAGCTTATAGCTTCCATATAAACTGAGCACATAGTTACTAAAAGAAATGCACCTCTGAAGAGTATATTAGCTTCGGTGCAGCCGAAGTTAACGTGTTTTCTTGGTTTTTAATAAAACTGATTGGGAAGCATCAATTTTTTTTTTTTTTGAAAAAGTTTAGAGTTTGTTAAATCGAAATTTTTAGCGTTTTGGTGTGAGTTTCATAGTAGGTTGAAAAAAATGCGAAGGGATACATTTCCAAAGCCTTGGTGTCGTTGACCATTAAGCAGTTTTTTTAGTATGCAATGAAATGGAAAAATTTTAAGGAAGAACCATGTTCAAGTKCAGCAAAAAATATTAAGCTATCGCTTTTTGAAAGAATTAAAGTAGATTTTTTGAACTGTATAGACAAATTTTTCAAGGTAGTTATCACATTAATAGTTTTATTTATGCTTCAGAAGCTTTTCTCTAGATAGTTATTGGACGTCTTGTAGTCCTCAACTTTATAGTGAGCAAAATATATGTATATAGAATAAAAACGACTCGGTCAAACTGAAATCGTATAATTTATTTTCTTGACATGTTCATATTTCAGTTAAATAAGCCGAATCGGACTTCGAATTCCATCCGATTCTCCACCGTATAAAATAGTGTACATATCAAAGAGCTGCAACGAGTATGATTAAATCAGAACAAGCAGTCGTGCTAAAACACAATCAAATCAATTTAGTTCATCGTGGACAACATTGTTGATCAATTCGAGTAGCCGCCAACGACAACTGATTTGATGCTACATGAACAATCTGTTCTTCGGCTATTACGATCGAGTAAACGGTATGGCTGGCTTCGGTTTAATCAAATCGTACATACATATATATGCATGTACTCGACGTAATTTAGATTATATAAATAACATATGCATATCCATACAATTGTAGGTATTTGAAATACAAGTGGAACAGAAGTGACCAGTAAATCTGGGATTAGGGGATGATATTTTCTGCTAATGCGAATGTTCATAAACAAATCATGTATAAGCTGATCGCTAGTGATTCAAAGTTGTTCCTTATCGCTAATTTGAAGAGAAACGATTCGATTCCTGTACATGAATCGAACTGACAGAATCAGATAGACTAACGGATCAATATTCGATTATGAACAAAAATTATTACTCGTTGCAGTTCTCTGTTACATATATGTATATAAACCAACCAACCATCAAGATATAGGGATAAAAATTCGCCCAGATAGGTATCGCACTTAAACAGTTACRTCTAAAAATTATGGTTGGAATCGCACCATGAATTTTAAAGCTTCCAGATAACAACTATGACTTGATTGACTGGGTTTTTGGTTTAGGCTCGTTTTTCCCCTCCAAATATGAGGGTTGGTTAGAAAAAAAAATTTGGAAAAAATTCTTTGTTCGATATTTTTATTCATTGCAAACGCACTACTGAGGTGTACCGACTTAAACATCTGCTGTAAACAACTAGTCGACAGATGGCACATTGTCACAGTAATAAAGGACAGTCCTACCAATTTAACAAAATACATATTTTAAATATCAWTTGCCACATGAATTCAAATTCAAATTTGCGAGGATTTTCATAATAGAGATCGGGTATGTAAAATATGATCCTTTGTATATAGTATAATAGTTTAACGTCGAAGATAGAATTAATTACATAGCTTCACATAACAACTTTTTCAATGAGATCTCTACAAACAAAAACGGCAAATTTAAGTTTTTATTCAGCCCAATTCACGAACATACGACGATTTTGGTGATCAAGCGGCTTCAGGTTGCAAGGATGTAGGATATCTTCGCAAAATCCGCCACAACGGCGTCACAGAGATGTCTATCGCTTGAGAACGATGTATGAGAGACTGTTTTGGATCTTCCTTAATTGATGCGGTAGCGACAGCAATATTCTCGACACTACGGATTAAAAATTGTTCACTAGATGGTCAATTGTTGATCTGAAAGGACGATTTTGACGACCATAAATTAAGCTTAGCGCTCTTAAAGTTAAATCCACGACTCTGAATTTCGGTAGTAAATTTTAATCATTTCGACAAGTTGTTGGATCGTATATATTTTAATGATGACGTCGGTTGCTGTCCCTATCAGTCTACTTTTGTAGCGTTGAATAACCCGTTACTACAACGATTTCGACTCTATGTCAATTTTATCTAACTGCAATTGCGAGGACAATCGTCTTTAGTTTATAATGATTATCTGAGATATTATATGTTTTTACTATTGAACACCCAAAATAAACGCCATTAGATAAACTTAATTTTTGTTTTTAAATGTCTCCCACATTACTAAACCATTTGTATGAATTTTAATATTGCATGCTCTCAATTTTTATTTTATTTAATATTGCATGCTCTCAATTTTACACATCGCCACGATGTATACTATTTGGGTGCAGCTGAACTTTGTTTTTATTCACATGTTTTATAATAATCTCGATATATGTGACCTGGTCTACGGAAAGGGGGCTTAGGTGTCAAAAAATCCAAAAAATCAATTTTCACTTTTTAGTTGATTCGGATGGAAGATGAGATTTTTAACAGCTGTTTCCCAGAAAACTAGTTCTCGCACGTTAGCTCCCTTTTCGTAGACCAGGTCACATATAATATTTGTAATGTTTCAATATAATATATACATATTTATGTACAAGTATATTAGGATTTAATGTTATTTTCAATGAAGTTTTTTAATAAATGTTAAACTGAAACACTCTTGCACTGAAGTAAGTAACATTCCTTTATATACTACAATTGATAAAGAATAGGGAATGTTACAATTATTTTCTCATAAACAAATCAATGAAAAAAAATTAAGATTAATAATTATTTTTAAATTAATATTTTATCCTAACGAAATAATTCTTATATTTAAATTTTTATTTACGCTTACAAAATAAGAGTTGTTTGACTCTTAACTTTAATTTATTTCTTACAGAATAATGGTTATGCAGTGAGTTTTAAATAACTCTTTCGCAATAATAGTTGAAGAGTAAGCTTTTTCTTTTGCCTTGACAAATTGTATTCTCACGTTATTACTTTCAAATAATAAACTCAAAGAAAATAAAATTTATGAATTAAAAAACAAAAACAAATATCAAAAGGGACATATTCGTGTAGTGTTCGAAAAATCAAAAATTTCCACATATACCCGAACTTTCCTTCATACTTATTTTTTTAGTCAAAAATTATGCAATAACTGTTATTTTCTGTACCTGTTTGAGAAAATTTTAATTTATAATTATAATATAATTTAGTTAAGCCTTACCTTCAGATGGATGCGGATCTGATATACCCGATCCGCTTATTATAACGTTGTTGGCTGTATTCGAGTTATCATCCATTTTGCTTAAAACATTGCCTGAAATTCCTGCAATACCGTTTCCAGGTATAGTTGTCAAACTTGTAGATATACTAGTAGGAGATACCAAATTATCGTTTCGAAGAGCACTAACAACGCTCGAAACACTAGAAGAAGAAGCATAAGTATTCCCAAGTGCGGTTTGAATTTGGGATGTTGTAACCACTCGATGTACTGTGTACATCATATGCCCTGAAGAGACTGTAGTAGCCAACGTTTCTCCACCAGAATCAATTTTGATATCTGAAGAAAAGGCATCGCAATTATTATTGGTCTGATTCGCATAACATTGGGTTTGAGTAGATGCTGCTATTAGCCCTTCCTTACTTTCATTTCTTTCGTCACAATTAAATACTCCTTCGTTACAGTCAAAAAGTCCATTCGACATGCAAATTGATTTTTGACTGAGTTGCACTGAATTTCGAACTGCTTGATTTTGATGTTGAGTCTGTTGACCCAGAGGATTAAAATATGGTTGACTTTCTAACGATGATGATAAAATAGATGCAGATCCCAATCGTCCGTTAGTAGCTGCTTTAAAAACATCATCTTGGCACCTGTAATCCGTATTACAAGACATTCGAGCTCTATAATTATAAATAACAACAATATTTATTCTAGTGCCCTGTATGTATCATTTTATGCAGAGTATAAGTCAATTTAGAATTTTAAGTAACAGTAAAAACTTGACTATAAACTTATCGTCAACATACATAATACTTAAAACAAGCACGGAAATGCTAAGTTAAAGGTGTAAACTAAATCGTGTGTGACTTATCGCAATGGATATAAGAAAGCATGTTCTACTTATAACAATGTGTCTTTGTAATTAAAATAGATACATAGAAGCGGAAACTTGGGTTAGCCCTAACTAATATCAGGATTTTCGAGTATCCGTCTGACAGAAACTTGAAGATATGACACAAAATTTATTCAGGAATCAATATAGCGACTACAGTTGATTCTTTTCGATAAAAAAAGAAGAAAATTTGAAGGCTTTTTGAAAAAAAAAAATGTCATGAAATCGCGAATATTTGTTTAAAAAATAATGAGATGCAAACACTGGTCATACGTATATAGTCAACGAAACCATTGGTTTTCAGAAAATGCAAAAGAACAACTGGTACGATGAGGAGTGCCGTGTTACAACGGAGAGCCAACACGCTGCCTACCTCCTAACGCTACACTCTACCACAGGCCGTGCTGAATAGGAAAGATACTGCGAGTAGAAGAGGGAAGTGGGACACATTTGCTAATAAAACAAAAGAGGCCGAAATGTGTGAGTACGAAGAGCCCGGCAAGCTCGCGGACAGCCGAGTTCCCCGGTGGATGAACGTCTAGCCACAATCCGCATCAAAGCGAAGTTTTTCTAAATATCGCTGATTTGCTCCCACTACCCGCCACCCCGCGACTTTAACGGTAGGGTGTTCAAAGAAGGTATCTTTGCTAAAATACTCAGTACTCCACGAGGAAACATCTCCAAATGGGTTAAGGCTGATCTACTTCGACGGGGTCCAAACTAAAGTTATCTGTAGTACTAGATTCCAGCATAGGAAAATTCAACAAAATACCAATCTGCCTCCGGAGCGAAAAGCCACCATCCAGATCGATCATGTTGTGAGAGACGGAAACTCGTCTCCTGTATTCAGTCCTGTGGCAGCAGAGATACGCAGCTGCCTCTGTGCAACAAAAAACGCACTTCAACAAATACAAGGAAGATTCGACGTCGTGAAGCTGCAATCACAGCAGACAGGTGAACGATTTTCTACTCGACTTGGTTTCCGACACTCGCCAACAACTGTGTATAAGTAAACTGTGGGACGGCATTTCCAGCGGCAACCGAACCCATTAATTTTCGAAAAAAGCAAAAGAAAAGCTGGTACAACGAGGAGTGCCGTATCGCTGCGGAGAGAAAATAAACTACCTACCACGTAATGTTACGATCGACCACAACAAGTGCGGGATGGGATAGATACCGAGAGCTGAAAAGAAAGTCTGCGTTTGCAGACAAACGAGGAGAGAGGCCGAAATGTGTAAGTACGAAGAGCTTAACAAGTTGGCCGATTGGGATAATACTCGATAATTCTGCGAAAAGATTGGGCGAGGGTTCAAGACCGAAGCACACTCTTGCAGAAACCCCAGAGGTGATCTAGTAACTGATGGCCAGAGCATACTGAAATAACGGAGGATTTACATATCCAGTTTGCTTAATTACAGTGAATATATAACCTCAGGAGATGGAGAGCCCGATTCCCCAATCGATGACGATGGAGTAGACGGCCGATAATGAAGAAGTTCGAATAGCAATAGCCCGTTTGAAAAACAACTAAGCGGCGGGGTAAGTCTCCTAAACATCGCACATAAGATTCTATAGAGCATATTGTGTGAAAGAGTAAAGCCCATTCATCTCATTGGACCTTATCAGTGTGGATTTAGACCTAAGAAATCAGCAACTGACCAGATATTCACTATCCGTCAAATCTTGGAGAAGACCCGTGAAAAGAGAATCGACTTTCACCACCTCTTCGTCGATTTCAAAGCTTGATAGAAGGAAAAGAAGCTGTATTTATACAACGATGTCCGAATTTGGTATCTCCGCAAAACTAATGCGGGTGCGTAAACTGAAGTTTAGCAACACCAAAAGCTCCATCAGGATCGCGAAGGACCTCTCCGGGGCGTTTAATACAAAGTAAGATTTCAGAAAAGCCGACTTTCTATCGTGCAACTTCCTGAATCTGCTGCCGAAGAAAATAATCCTGTCTGCAGGACTTAATCGAGTAGGTACAATTTTTTATATGAGCTGGCGTATGCCGCTGATATTGATAGCATTGGCCTCAATACCTGCACCGTTAGTTCTACTTTCTCCAGACTGGAGAAGGAAGCGAAGCAAATGAGTCTGGCTGTGAACGAGGGCAAGACGAAATATCTCCTGTCATCAAACAAACAGTCGTCGCACTCGCGACTTGGCACTCACGTCACTGTTGACAGTCATAGCTTTGAAGTTGTAGATAATTTCGTCTATCTTGGAACCAGCATAAACACCACTAACAATATCAGCCTAGAAATCCAACGCAGGATAACTCTTGCCAACAGGTGCCACTTCGGACTGAGTAGAAGAAGAGGGTTGTGCGCAGGGTTTGACCCGCCACGTAAAAAAAAACACCCCCAATGAACGTCTAGTCACAATCCGCATCAAAGCAAGGCTCTTCAACATATCGCTGATTTGCGCCCACGCCCCGACGGAAGAAAAGGACGATGTGACCAAAGATGCCTTTTATGAGTGCTTGGAAATGTCAAAATCGTGATTGGCGACTTTAACGCCAGGATGGGCAAAGAAGGCATCTTTGCCACTACGGTCGGTAACTTCAGCCTCCACGAGGAATCATCCCCAAATGGGTTGAGGCTGATCGACTTCGCCGAGTCCCGAAATATGGTTATCTGTAGTAATAGATTCCAGCATAAGAAAATTCATAAAGTAACTGGCTGTMTCCGGATCGAAAAACCACCAATCAGATCGATCATGTTGTGATAGACGGACGACACGTCTTTAGTGTTTTAGATGTGCGTGGGCTCCGAGGTCCTAACATCGACTCGGACTTTTATCATATTGCAGCCAAGATTCGCACCCGCCTCTGTGCAGCAAAAAACGCCAACAAACACAACGAAGGTTCGACGTCGAGAAGCTGCAATCACAACAGTCAGCCGAACGATTTTCTACTCGGCTTGTACTCTTGCTCTCTGAGACCACTCTCGCCAACAACCCGGCATAAGTTAACTATGGGAGGCCATTTCAAACTCCTTACGTACAGCTGCAACCGATACCATTGGTTTTCGGAAAGTGCAAAGGCAAAGCTGGTACGACGAGGAGTGCGGAGTCGCAGCGGAGAAAAAACAGGCTGCCTACTCGTAACATTACGATCGATAATAGATATCGAGAGTTGAAGAGGGAAGCGAAACGCATTTTCAGACAGAAAAAGAAAGAGGCCGAAATGCGTGACTAAGAACAACTTGATAAGCTGGCCGACAGGGTAATGCTCGAAAACGCTACGAAAAATTTTGGCGGCTTACAGAGGGTTTCAAGACCGGAGCATAATCTTGTAGAACTCCCAAAGTTAATCTAGTAACCGATGCCCCGAGCATACTTAAATTATGGAAGGAACACTTCTCCAGCCTTCTTAATGTCAGTGAACGCAAGACGCCAGGAGAAGGCGAACCCGATTCCCCAATCGATGATGATGGAGCAGACGTTCCATTGCCCGACCAGGAAGAAGTTCGAATAGCAATTACCCGCCTGAAGAACAACAAAGCGGCTGGGGCCGATGGATTGGCGGCCGAGCTATTCAAACACGGCGGYGAAGAMCTGATAAGGAGCATGCATCAGCTGCTTTATAATATATGGTCGGACGAAAGCATGCCCAACGATTGGAATTTAAGTGTGTTATACCCAATCCGCAAAATAGGAGTCCAACAATCTGCGCCAACTACCGTGGGATAAGCCATTGCATATAAGGTTGTGTATTGTGTGAAAGATTAAAGCGAACCGTCAACAAACTGATTGAACCTTATCAGTGTGGCTTCAGACATGGAAAATCAACTTATCACCTACCGGATATTCACCATGCGCCAAATCTTGGAAAAGACCCGTGAAAGGAGGATCGACACTCACCACCTCTTTGTCGTTTTCAAAGCTGCATTCGACAGCACGAAAAGGAGCTGACTTTATKCCGCGATGCCTGAATTTGGTACCCCAGCAAAACTAATACTAATACGTTGAGCAACACCAAGRTCTCCGTCAGAATCGGGAAGGACCTCTCCGAGCCGTTCGATACCAAATGAGGTTTAAGACAAGGCGACTCCCTATCGTGCGACTTCTTCAATCTGCTTCTGGAGAAAATAATTCCAGCTGCAGAACTAAATAGAGAAGGTACAATCTTCTATAAGAGTGTACAGCTGCTGGCGTATGCCGATGATATTGATATCATCGTACTCAACACCAGCGCCGTTAGTTCTGCTTTCTCCAGACTAGAAAAGGAAGCAAAACAGATGGGTTTGGCAGTGAACGATGGCAAGACGAAATATCATCAAACAAAGAGTGGTCATGCATGCGCGACTTGGCTCTCACGTCACTGTTGACAGTCATAACCTTGAAGTCGTAAATATTTTCGTCTATCTTGGAACCAGCGTAGACACCACCAACAATGTCAGCCTAGAAATCTAACACAGGATAACTCTTGCCAACAGGTGCTACTTCGGACTGAGTAGGCAAGTGAGAAGCAAAGTCCTAAACTATATAAGTCACTCGTAACTCCCGTCCTGCTATATGGTGCATAGGCTTGGACGATGACAACAACTGATGAGTCGACTTTGCAAGTTTTCGAAAGAAAATTTCTGCAAAAGGCTTATGGTCTATGGTGATATATGGAAAGTAGGCCTGGTTACGTGGTTATTGTCCGATTTCGCTCATTTTCACAATAGTGACATAGAAAAAAGGCCATGCCACGGCCAT